CTAAGAAAATATTTTATTAAGAAATATTTTACGAATTTACGATTTTGCGAATTTTACTAAGAAATATTTTACACCATTTTAGCGATTTCATGTACTTAATCAATTTTAAAATTGTAATTGTCTTTACAAACACCGCAGAAAGGGTTCTGATCATTTGAATGATATTGATGAACATTTTTTGATCATTTTATCTGATTTTTGGTTAGTCTAGTAATCCTCGTGTCTCGGTATCTAGGCTAACAATATATTTATATGATGCACACAACTCCAGACATCTAGATTGAAATCTATGAAATTGAGTATCTTTAGCGCTGCTTGGCTATATGTTAATATATCAGCCGAATGCTGTATTATTATTTCTTCTACACAGTAATGGATTGCCATTATATTATTTCAGCCTGAAAAATTGTGACAATTCCGGATATTATTTCGAGAAAAGTTATCCTTTCTTTCAGTCACACAAGTTGTCCGTTTCAAAATAAGGTAACTGTTTTTCATCTATTTATATTTTTTTCATATATTTATTTTTTAAAACTTAAAAAAAAACTTTGCACGCACGTTGAGGTACTTTCATAAAAATTCATTATAATCGGTTTAAATGTCTTCAACAATCCACCTCCATTTTTTAAGCTCAAATTTTAACTTAAGATATATTTTTACTTATAATTTACATATTCTGGCATTAGTCTAAAGAAGCTATAGTATGATAATAAAATTAATAATTTTAATCTTTGCAGCACTTAATATGAGGTTATTGGTATAGCATTTTTTTAACATATTATTTCTAAATTGACTGATATTTGGATAAAAATTGTTTTCAGGGTGTTTTTTAGCATGAGCAATTAAGTAGTAAGCGATTTTGATATAAAAATATACACTTCCGCCGTTTTTTACGTAAAAAGTATATTGGCTTAAGATATTTGGAATCGAAATGATCAATACATATCATCAAGGCAAAAATTAAACGTCTGCAGAAAAAAAATGCAGAATATAATGCCGAAATTTCCCGAATACCTACAATTCGGACACCGCACTGGTATAACATATTTAATATTTACACTAATCTAGCAACTAACTACCGTTAAATTTGAAATTGCCTACGAACTATCGGCCAAAGTTGCTCGCATTTAACTTTGAACCTCACCTGCTAATTAGGTTCTTTAAGTTCGGTTTTGCTATTACGGTGGTTGTCTGGCTTCGACAGCAGCTGACCATAACCTCGATCGTGCGTGAGATGAATTCTGAATGTGGACATTTGCAATTCTGCCGAAGTTACTAACATATTCACATTAGTACAGTGTTGCATAAGCGATTTCCATTTTGATTAAAGTTTTCCTACAATTTTCTACCTCCTGTTCTACCTATACAGGGTGGCCCATCGAAAACGTTCCGCAAGGCATAACGGCCAGGGTAATTTTTTTTCAGAAAATCCAAAAACACATCAATTTTGTTTGTGAGGGGGACAACTTTTGCCCCAAAATGATTGCAAAATCTTCAACCCTCTAAGCGGGGGTGTCATCCTCTAACTTTTTTCAAATGGGAAGGGGGTTCAAGTGGCACCGCAATGAAAAGATATTTTTATTCTCTATATTTCCCCGCTTCGTTTTTGAAAATCGGTTAAGTCATTGAGAAAATATGAAGGATTGAAATTTGGAAAGTTTATTTAAACATTTATCAGACTAAATGATAAGGATAAATTCCTTCGACCAATTTGCTGTTTTTTCTTATTATTTCTAGATGTTTACGCATTTTTTCACTTGCCACAAGATTGAACGATCAGGTGCGGTAGTTGCTAGATAGCTGTTCTGTGACTTGTGCGTTGAAGTTCTTCCCAATATTGTTAAACTTTTTAACAATTATGGTGTACTCACTTGCAGAAAAAGTGGATATAATTGAACTTTATTTTAAAAATAATGAATGTGGAAATCGGTTTGCGCAGATATTCAATGAACGCCATCCTGACAAACACCTTTATGGCAAAATTTTTCGCGATTTAGTAGCAACATTTCACGAAACTGGTTCCGTTATGAATAAAAAGAGGCAGAGAGAAAATCCTGTAGTAAATGAAGCTATGTAGGTATTCGTATTGGGCCAAGTTGCCATGGGTAGTACGCTGAGTACAAGAAAATTAGCCAATGAGACCGCGACCGGCGTGAATCGTACAAGTGTCCAAACGATATTAAAAAAACACAAGTTCTACCCGTACAAAATTCAGTTGGTACAAGAACTCAAAGAAGACGATTTTGATCGTCGCGGGCTGGTATTTTTCTATTTTCGAAATTCTATTGTGGGTCAGTTTAACGATATTGAGACCGCACCTGATCGTTCAACCTTGTGGCAAGTGAAAAAATGCTAGAACAAAAAAGCTAGAAACATCTAGAAATAATAAGAAAAAACAGCAAATTGGTCGAAGGAATTTATCCTTATCATTTACTCTGATAAATGTTTAAATAAACTTTTCAAATTTCAATCCTTCATATTTTCTCAATGACTCGACCGATTTTCAAAAACGAAGCGGGGAAATATAGAGAATAGAAAGCTCTTTTCATTGCGGCACCACTTGACCCCCCTTTCCATTTGAAAAAAGTTGGGGGATAACACCCCCGCTTAGAGGGTTGAAGATTTTGCAATCATTTTTGAGGCAAAAGTTGTCCCCCTCACAAAAAAAATTGACGTGTTTTTGGATTTTTTGAAAAAAAAAATATCCTGCCGTTATGTCTTGCAAACGCCGTTTTCGATGGGCCACCCTGTATTCTTAAAAATATGTCTAGAGGTGCATTAAAATATCAAAATATTATAATTTAGAGTGTTAGAGTGAATTAGAGTGAAGAACTAAAGGCGGTTTTAATCTGTTTTAAACTGTGTATAATACTAGAGGTAAAGGGAGAAGTCCATGGAAGCGGGAAAAGCAACACTTCTCTATACTACGAGACCAAAAAAAACAACATTAGACATACTAGCTGCGTTTCGCCGCCAAATCGCTTACTTTTTAAAAGAAGGTCTCAAAACTTCACTTTAGTATACTCAAGGTCATACTATTTTTGTTGTTTGTTCTTCTGTTATTACTCTTTTGGATATCTGTTTTACTGTTTTTTGGCCCTCAATTTATACAGGTATAAGAGTGACAGTAAAAACTGCAAAACAGAAGAAAAGAAACACTAAAAGAAACATTGTTCTTTTGTTTTTACTTTTCTTGGTGTCTATTTTACAATTTCGTTTAGTGTTCTTTTTTCGTTTTACTGTTTTTTCTGTCACTCTTATACCTGTATGTCTTCAGATCAAAAAAAAGGGGTGACAGTGAAAATAGTAAAAAAAGTAAAATAGACATCAGAAAGGCTATAAACCGAAAAGGAAACAACAGAAATAGTATGATCTTGGATATAATAACATAACATAAAAATAATAACATTTTCATTTTTTGGTATATCGTATAATACGAATATTTATATAATTAGTCAAAAATATTTAATAAAGACAAATCACAATACAATTCCAATTTTCATTTGCAAATCGGTTTTTGTTAGTTTTACATAACAGCAGCAATAGAGGTCATCCTAGACCTAACACCACTGTACATTGTCGTCGGTAGTTATGTCAATGCCAACCCAAATGATTAAAATGGTCATTGGCGGAATTCAGTACTGAGAGAATTTTCAGGCCAGGAGCATGAAACACCCTCCAAAAGAAAATTCCACTCCTCCAACTCCCAGTGGATGACATACAACGAATTTACAACTTTGAGGAACACCTCACTGTAGTATTGAGCAATAAAAGGGATTGGAAGAGAGAACGTTTGCTCAACATGTAAAAGACCATACCATACGTGATATACTGATGCTTTCAAAACCAAAGCAGAGACAGGGATAGGAGTGATTGAACCAATAGGCACCTACCCAGAGCCACATATCCGAGCATCCTTCAGGCAGAAATCTATGCTATCGGAAGATGTGTAAAATTTATCTTAGATAGGAACTATCGAAAACAGGAAATAGCCACCTTATCCGATAGTTAAGCAGCACTAAAAACGGTCAACTCAGTAAACATCAATTCGAAGTTGGTCAAAGAATGCCTAGTAAAGCTGAACAAATTAAGCAAAGCAAATAAAGGCCTACTAATGTGGGTGCTGACCAAGGGATAGAAGGCAATGAAAAAGCAAACGATCTAGCTAGAAAAGGAGCGAACACTCTACCTTCTGGTTTCTAAGCGGAAACAAGCGGAACTGAACTTAAGAACCTGGAGGACACCATCCGTAACCTGGAATGGAAATCCTCTGACGGTCTAAGACACTCGAAAAAGTTCCTCAGAACTTAAGACCGAGAAAAATCAAAGATTTTCCTTGATTTAAGAAAGAACAATCTTCGGATTATCACGGGTTTCGAACAGGACACTGCCTCGTTAACGAACACCTACTGAAATGTTCGTTCAATCTACTGAGATTGAAGCTGAGAAACAACGGCGAATGCAGATTCCGTGGGGAAAACACCAGAGCGCTAAATTGATAAGTCACCGAGTGCGCCAAGACTACCACTTCTCAAAATCCTGCTCCGATAAAAGCCCAAAAAAAACAAAGAAGTAGGTTTAGATTACAGTAGTCACAACATCCATTATTATCTACGAAAACAAAAATTAATTTTAACTTTCCCCTTTTACGCATGTTTGAAAATCTGCCTTAATGCTTCAAATTAAAATACAATATCCTTTTTTTCATTTAGATGCGATACTACTACCTATTAAGCCTACTACTACCCCCACTAAAGTTACAGTCAAATTACAATACTACACAATGTAATATAGTAGTAAATACCATGTAAAAATGAGTAATTATCTTCAACAAGTTGAACTACTGACTAGAACATTACTTCCTTTTTGATTAGAATTAATGCCGTTAAATGGTTTAGCCAGCTGATGCGGCTTAAAAAAAATTCTTCCCTCCTTCTGTTATCAGAATTAATAACTTATCTGTGGAACTTTTCTAAAACATACCATGTCACTATGACGGCTTGTCAGTTAATAATCTGTTATCCACTGTTATCAATCAATATTTTGAAGCAAAATGCAGATACTGCATGTACCTATAATACTATTGTTTATTATACCTATAATATGCGGAAGAATTATGCAAGGTAAAAAGATTATTATTACTCAATTTAATAATAAACTGTGTTTTTTAAGGTCGATATACTAGAGATCTAAAAGAGTACCAATTATCTATTCCACATAAGCTAACCCGACAAGGAGAGTATTCTGTGTTTCATTTACCACATTTTTATTACTATAAATCAGAAATGTATGGGGATAGGAAGAAAAGAAGTGATAATGATGATGATGAATTGATTCAATACGGTAATTTTTAATTTGTTGAATTTAGAGCTATACAGGATGTCCCTTAATGACATGCTAATATTTAAGGAGGTGATACTTACCTATTCTAAGAAAAAAACTTCCTATGAATGTATGTTCCAAACATGTTAACTTATCAGATACAGGGTGGTAACATTTTCATTTTTTTACAAAATATCTCTGGTGGTGTATTCAATACATGTCTTCCATGCATCAAAATGCTTATTTTGATATACAAAAAAAAATTGTTTTATTTCTTAATTTCCTTTCAGCCGATGTAGAAATTATTTCCACACAACAGTCACCGCATCATATTTTCAGCGATTTGACCCTAAAATAACCTGATTTCAATTTTTTTAAGCAAAACCTATGCGTCAGAAGAGAAAAAGAGATAGAAAATGTTTAGAAATAAATGAAGATATTGAGAACAATTTTTTATTTTAAGAGAAGGTGTAGCATTTTTTCTCCAAAAATATTCAATGTAAAACCCATATGGTTGAAATTAATAAAATTCTTTGTACACCAAAAAAGGTAATTTGATGCATAGAAGACGTACGAAGTTTCATAAAGATATCTGTAATGAAATGAGAGCTATCGTGAAAAAATTTTTTTACAAAAATTTACCACCCTGTTTCTAAGAAATTAAGATGTTTAAGACACACATTCATATGAAGTTGCTCTCTTAGAATAGGTCCAAGAATCACCTCCTTAACTCTTAGCAGGTCACTAAGGAACACCCTGTATAAATATTCGGTTTGAGTGAACTATCCAGACACACATTTCTTTTAGAAAATGAAGCATGTTTTATATTAAAATAAACTTCTTAGAATATTTCAGTAAAATAAATTAAATAAAAAAACTAAATATTTAATTGATAATGATTTAATCCGAATGTCTGAAAATTAAATATATTATTCATAACTTTTCTGTATCTGATTGCACTATCTTCCTCCATTTAATTAATGTTATTTTTCTCCACCGAAAATACCCAGTTGGTGTACGGATGTCCCGTTTTTTATGTTTTATTGAGTTTGGTTTGGTATATATACAGGGTGGCGCACCTCATCCGCCTCGGTTGATTATACGAAAACGGCAAGATGTAGAAACAAAATATTTTATGGGTGGTAATGTGCACAATTTAAAATTATTTTGAAATATACAGGGTGTTTCAGAACTAAAATCCATACCAAAGTTATATTTTTTCTTATTTTTGGATTCTTGGGCCCAAAAAAAGGCATTTATTATAAGGGTTAAATATGTTTAAAATCTTTAGTTTTTGAGTATTTAAAGATATTTAAATTTGCATGCTACAATAGAATAAACTATTAACACCCTGTACATTACTTTTCAGAATTAATTATTATGCTGAGTTTAAAGGTAGAGAAATAAACTTTACTGACAAATGGTATTCGATCCTTAAATTTATACAGGGCTATCAAAAGTTGCTGATCTATTTTAATATATAAAAACTTCGTTATTTCAAATACAACACCCTGTATTTTTTTAAATAAATCGAAGCAGATTCAAATGCTCTTTCAAACTATATTAGTGTTTCCTATACCTATCTAGCTCAGATTTTGAATAAAAAGCGATTTTTTAATAAAATTGCAATCAAGATGGCTGGTGTGGCCATGGCAATTTTCTAGTGACAGTTAGGAACTGTTTTCAAAGTCGACATTAGTTTATGGACATTAGTATTTATAATTTATAGCAGTTTACTTAAATTTACCTACAATAGTTTAATAAGGAAGTATTCATTAGTTTATCAAGAAAAAAAGCAGTATCTGCTGGCGGAACGAATAGATATGTTACCAGTGATATAATTTTTTGAGGAAAATTGCTTCTTGGTCTCAAGGGCTTATGCTCAAAGATATCCAAATAGGAATCTTCCTGATAAGCGTTTCCTTGAAAAGCTTCTTGTCCTATTTCGCTGAGCTGGTAGTGTGGTTTATAAAAAACCTATTAGGCAGAAACCTGTCGTTGGAAGTGAAGAAAATGAATTTGCCGTAACTGGCTCTTTTATAGAAAATCCATATATCTACAAGTCATCGTAAAATAATTCAAAGAACTAGTTTTTCGTTTTTCTTGATAGAATAATAGAATTAAATATGTTTATTATTCTATCAAAAAAAACTATTGCAGGTAAATTAAATAAAAATAAAGTGATATAAATTTAAATAAGTCCATAAACTAATTTCGATTTTGAAAATAGCTACTAACTGTCACTAGAAACTTGCCATGACAACACTAGCCATCTTGATTACAATTTTATTAAAAAATAACTTTTTATTCAAAATCTGAGCCAGATAGGTATAGGAAACCCTAATATAGTTTGAAAAAGCATTTAAATCTGCTTCGACTTATTTAAAAAAATACATAGTATTGCATTTGAAATAACGAAGTTTTTATGTAAAATAAATATTTAAATAGACTAGCAATCTTTGATACCCCTGTGTACATTTAAGGATGGAATAACATTTGTCTGTAAAGTTTATTTCTCTACCTTTAAACTCAGCACAAGAATTAATTCTGAAAAGTAATGTACAGGGTGTTAATAATCTCTTCTATTGTAGCATGCAAATTTAAATATCTTTAAATATCTCAAAAACCAAAGATTTTAAACATATTTAACCCTTATAATAAATACCTTTTTTTGGGCCCAAGAATCCAAAAATGAAATAAAATACTGGGTGCTCTATAAGAAAAAATATAACTTTGGTATGGATGTTAATTCTGAAACACCCTGTATATTTCAAAATAATTTTAAATTGTGCACATTACCTACCCACATATACCCATAAAATATTTTCTTTCTACATCTTTCCGTTTTCGTATAATAAACCGAGGCGAATTAGGTGCGCCACCCTGTATACATAAAAAAGATGCGGCTTTAACAGTGCTATTTATATTTTTAATGCACTTTTTCAATACTTCTACACACTAGCGTGGTTAGCCAATAGCCGATGACCAAAATTTGACGTCGAATAAATTATTCGATTGTTTTGATTGGCTATTTTAAACCGACGCGACGGCCTATGTTAAAAGGTTAAATAATACATATTTTTCATCTTGTTTAGGAAAATAAGTATAGTGTATGATACATTTTTAGAAAGCTCATAACAAGGCAGATATAAATAAAAATATCCCAAGTAACACAAGTTGTTTTTCTAAAAACTGCTCTAACACCATATTTTGTGATATAGCTGTCCTCAGAACTCTTTAAAAATAATTTGTGTTACTTCCACTAGGTAATATACAGGGCATTCCATTTACAAAAAAAAAATAAGTTTGGGTCATATTTTAATGAGAGCTCGCAGCAAAAATCTAGTTACTCCACTCAATTCTACATGAAAAACGATACGGGACTTAGTTTTCAACTTTTCGAAAAGATATAAGATAATCGAAGTACGAAGGGCGTCAAAACCATTTTCAATTTTCTTCAAAAAGGTCCTACGGGTATTTTACCACTGTAAGAAAACCTACAAAATAAAATAGTTATTTTTTTGTAAACACTGCTGCATTAATCCAACGGAGACTAATTGTCAGCAGTGGTTTACTAATAAACAAGTTTGCCCAACGGAAAAAAATGCTTAACGTTTCAGAAAGTATATCTCTTTCCATTGTCGGAAGTAAAAAAACACGAAGAACAAAGAAAAAACCATTTAAAATATCTAAGTGCAACTATTCGAGAACACTTTAGTTTTTTTAAAACAGATATGTCTACAAAAACCGTTAATGTTCTGTTAAAATGACATTATATCAAGTTAAACTTCAAAATTAACAATTACTACCTGATAACAATTACTTAATAAGGTAAAAGGAAAAAGTTTGTCGAAAAACGAAAAAGTATGTTTTGTTCATTAAAATCAAAGAAGCGATTGACATACCTGGCTAACAGATTACTCTACAGATGCATGAGCAATACATTCATTTTTATTAGATTGTATTAAAAAAACCTCTATTATTTTTCTTTTAGAGGCTATAGCTTCTTTCAATATAATTTTACATTGTTAAAATCTATTCTGTGCCCTGTGTCCCATGAATGCTGACAAATCTTAGATTTGTGACAGTCGCCCTTTCTTAAAATAATTTTTATGTCCTTTTTTTTTGTTTCTTGTCCAGTGTTCATTGGTTTAGTGTGTGTTAAAATGGATATAAGTGTATTTTGTTTTAAAAGATGTTCCCGTGTTATATTGTTTTCATATCCTTCTTATTATTTCCGAACTGCCTCGTATGTATGGAATTGCAAGTTGTATATATTGTGTATTGTTATCATTGTGTGTATTCTGTCTATCATTTGGGGTTTGTATTTCGTTTAATATTTTGTCAATAAAAGATGGAGGGTAGTCGTTTTTTATTAATGTATTTTTTATGTGGTTTATATCTCTGTTTAATGAATTTTCGTCTGAACACATTATTTTTGCCCTATCTTATAAACTTTTTATAAAACCTTTTTTATACTTATACATAACTTACTGCTTAATTTTCAATTTTGCCCTGTATTTTACAAACTAAGAGGGCTAGGACAAATGTGTGGGTAGCATCTTTAGTTTCATAAGAAAGTAGCATAATGATTTGAAAACCGCATCCTTGTAGCTCCACTCATAGACGAAAAATCCTGCAAAACACACGAACATGGAACACCCTGTACAATAAATTAATATTGTTTTTATCGATAATCTTAAAAAGAATATTGATCCGCCACTGTATCTCAATTAGAATTGTCGATATTTTAGCCATTCCGATCGACGGCGATACGTATCACGTAGAGCTTTGGCCAAACAGAGATTTCATGCATCCCAATTTAGTGTTTGAGAAACGTGACTCTGGAATTCCGGTACGGGACAGACTGGTCAGGGGTGTAGGAAGTAAAAAATGGTGCCATTACAGGGGACGGGTGAAAGGTATTACGGATTCGAGTGCCTCGATATCAACGTGCGATGGATTAGTAAGTGTACAGAACGAACTTAGTATCTATTCCTTGTATACCGGGGTCCCAATACTTCGTAGAACTACTACGTATTTTTGGAGTTAAAATAAGTTCATTGGACATAATTTACCTCTATACAAAAGTGCTTCGTTTGTTGGTTAGTGGGCAGCAATCTTAAAAAAAATAAACAAATTTTTTAAGATATTTTAAGAACCGACATTCTGATTTGAATGAGATTTGGGATGCCTACATTTTTCTAAACATTTTAACATTTGATTTTCTCAAAAAGACATGAAAAATTTCGGGAAGGGTCAAACAACAGAACACCTATGTATTTTTTGAAACAAAATATGTTAATTGCACAAAATTTACCTTTACGCAAAAGTGCTTCGTTTGTACGTTCGAGGGCATCAATAAAAAATAAACTCGAAATTTAATTAATTTAAAATTTATGAAGCTTATTATGAAATATTATTTGTGATATTTGACAATAAGTTTCATAGATTTTTAATTAACTATATTATTAGCGCATACTACATTTTATGCGCCTACATAATTTCATGTGCCAAGAAATATTTTTTGTAAGACAGCTTGATTACTACAAAAAATTTAGTAAATACGTAAATATAATATTATAATATATTACAAAAAAAATCGGTGGTTTGTGAGGACCAGCCTTCCAGTACATCTTCTTGTTTTTTTTGTGAAAGTCAAATGTCTATGCGCTTTGCAAAACACATGCTACACAAATCTCACTCAAATCGGAATACGGGTTCTTAAAATACCTTTAAAAACATTTTTATTTTTTTAAAATTTGGAGCCCCCTAACGGCTAAAGGAATTTTATATAGAGGTGAAGTTATCTTCAATGTATTTACTTGGATTCCAAAAATACGTAGAGTAGTTACAGTAGTTCTATGTCCACGGGATATTGTCATCTATTTCTGTAAGAATAGATGATTTTGTGCTCCTAATGCTTTTGAATTTAACGCTATTATTATAATTATAATTTTTTATACTCTTCATTTTTATACGTTCTTATTCTTTATAGATCTGAGAAGGCATTGATTGATTTAAGGCATTGTTAAAAATATTAGAAAAAAACAACGCCCAGTATTTTGAAAACAAAGCATTATTGCTCTATATTGATATAAATCTTCTTCCTAAAAAAAATCCTATACATTTATTTATTAAATATAATTAATAATGCCTTGTATCAAAGTGTATTTACTATATACATATTGTAATCGCAAAACGTTTTCCGATGCACGTTATCAATCATATCGACATTGACACTATAGTCTATAAACCTGACTAAATAAAATTTTGGCAAAAATGTTTAAATTTGTTGTATAATTAAAGATACCGAGCAGCTCTTCATTTTACTTTATAGAGCAAATGATTATAACAGATATTTTATTTAGATTAGAGCTGCAAAAATTAGTTTTGCAAAAAACCGAATTTTATTATCGCTATGTGGGTCACATTGCGCCGTGTTCAGCAATGTTGTCCTTTATTATTTGACAATAATTATCCTAGTGTCGGTCATTATTTTGTATAATATCGTGTTTTTGTTGAATATCTGTGAGTAATTCTCGTTTTTTGTTTATTTTCATAGTTATTTTTTAAATTGCACTTTTAAGCACAAACAGTTCTTTTAAGAACTAAACTTTCAAGATTTTGTATTGCATTTCTTGAAATTGTGTGTTGAAAATATGCCGAAGCATTTAAACAGCCGAAGCACAGAGAAATCTCCCCACGAGAAAAAGCACATGTTTCTTGAAACACCCTGTATATTATTAGCGCATACTGGATTATATGCACCTACATAGCTTTATGTGTCAAGAAATATTTATTTATATTTATTTTTATATTTTTTTTTATGTAGTAAATACTAGAAAGACTACTTTACGAAAATAAAAAAAATCTGTGGTGGGTGAGACTGAAAAATATTTCTACTAAAATTTATGTAGGGGTGAAGGTAGTTCTCACCCTTCCCGTACATTTTCTTTTTTTGTGAAAGTCGAATGTCTAAACTTCTAGCAAAACACAGGCACCACAAAACTCATTCAAATCGGAATATGAGTTCTTAAAATATCTTAAAAACCATCTTATTTTTTTAAAATTTGATGCCCCTTAACGGTCAAACGAAGTACTTTTATATAGAGGCGAATTGTCTTCAATATATTTATTTTGATTCCAAAAATATGTAGTAGTTCTATGTTCACGGAATATTGAGACACCCTGTATATATTCACGTTGTAGAAATAGATAATTTTTTGTGCTCGTGGTGCTTTTCAATTTAACGCTATTATTTTAATTATTATAATTTTTTATACTATTCATTTTTATATGTTCTTATTTTTTATAAATCTGAGAATGTCTGAGGCATTGTTAAAAATATTTAAAAAAAAATCAACATGTCCAGTATTTTGAAAACATAGCATTATATTGATATAAAGCTGCTTCCTAAAAATAATCCTAAACTATTTATTTATTAAATAACATCAATTCCTTGTATACAAATTGTATTTTAGATCACTACAATGCACTATGGTTTCTAGAAGCTACTTTTTTGGCTAAAATTAAACAACTTACATTTAATGGAAAATATGGACTGTAAATTTGTGTTTTTAAGAAAATACTAATAAAATGAAGTTATTTTTAATCTTCTCATTCAACGTGTGATTAACTTTTACCAATAAAGCATCTTCTGTATCTAGTTCCAAAAAAGAAAGTCGATCAATCATCGAATTACTGCTGTTCAAAACAATCTTCTTTAGAAATATCTTCTTGCTCTCATTTTTGCATTTTTTCTTCTTGCTGTTCCTCCTCGTATTCGCCTCTTCTTTTCCATGCTTCTCTTCAAGAGCATTGCAAGAGCTTGTTCTTCATTTAACATCTTTTCGATAAATTCAGGTACACGAAGTAGGTTAAGTACATCGGCAGGATAACTAAATTTACAAAGCAGCCTGCACAAGTAAAGCCCAATCCTGCCTATGTTCCTCGGAAACTTTTGAGGCCGTTCTTCTCTGGGTTCTGGAAGATTGCTCCGAAAAAGGTAATCGTGGGCGGCCGGCAGATGATGTGTATGGAAGGGGTTCATTTAACTCAAGGATAAAATCCTCCTTTAACCAGTCTTCATTTTGTTTTAAAAATAAATCTTTAAGCCACGAAGCCGCCTGCCATCTTCTTTCAAAATTTATACAAAGGCGATTTATCTTTTTTTCATTGTACCTGATAGTCCTTGTTCATTATTCTGAAATTTCTGTCTTACAAAATTTGAAACATACCCGTTTTTCTCAACTTTATCGGCCCCTTGTAGCCATTTTTCCAAAATATCTATTTTTTTCAATCGATACATAGGAGAAAAAAAAATATTTAAAAAAAAGTTGCAGCTAGTAGCAGCCAATTTTTTCTTTGATATGTTCACACAGGATTGATTCAAATTTTACAATAACATCTAGCATGAAGAAACATGGAGAATTTTTTATAAGTCAAACTAAATTTTTAGCTTTTTATTTATGTTCTGTCTTAAACTCATTATTTTTAATTAATTAAAAAATAATGGACGCTGATTCTTATGAGCAATTCTTAGTGATTTCTTAAAAATACATACCATAAAGTGTAAAAATAACAGTAATCCGTTTTTATATCCAACTGAAATATATCACTTAATATTCACCAAAACTCTTTCGAAAATAAAAAACAACTGAATAGGCACAAATACTTCACTAGAACGTCTAAATATAAATGCTGATAACGAATAAAAATGAAAACTAAACAAAAATATATGCATGTGGTCTTCTTCATTTGTATATCTGCTTGCATTCCACTTACAAAAAAAGTCCATATACAGTGGGTCTAAAATATGTATTTTGGCCAAAAAAATAGCTTCTAGAAACCATAGTGCAATGGCCAAACATCTGACAACTATAGCATGGTAAATTTTAAATTTTATTTTAATTTTTGATGGTTTATAGCAGCAGCAAAAGCCATCCATTTTTGCTAAAAATAATAATATGTAGAAAAAAGAAACGAAAGCTTGATTATACAATTAGAGTCATCCAAAATTGAAAAAATGAAATTAATATTATAGAATTAGAGTTATCCAAAAATGCTGTATATCATGCTATAAAGAATGACTTTGTACTAGTAGAAGGTTTTTTAGATTGGTCACATAACAATAAGGAGTAAAAGATATTTCATAGAACCAGTGTCTGATCATGTCCCTAGCGAAAAGGGTCATCATCTTCACATAATATATAACAAATCACCAAATGATGGAATCTACAGATGTGGAAATAAACCAACGTGGAAGGACGATAGCTTAGATAGAATAAGGTTTCAAAATTGAATTGTATTAACTGACATGCAACAGTGATATTTTGCAGGAAAGAAATTGATTCGTTCAAAGAAACAGATGTCTTCAAAAATAATCCACTCTTTCTAAAAACTATACCTAAATTTATTGAGGTTGCAGTAGTTTGCGATAAGAAATTTCTAGATTATCATAAATCTCGTGATGTGGAGTTGTATGTAATGACTTTAATGAATGGGGTATAACGATATACAACACTGTTCTTTTTTAATAACTTTAATAAGTTTTAGGTGAACGATCTTTACAGAGATAATTCAACTGGCCAATTAATAACTGTTGAAGTTGTAAGAGTAATCTATTTAGAGAAAGAGGAAGAAGAAATTGATCTAGAAGTATCGGGCAATGCTTTAAAAACTTTGGAGAGTTTTGGACGTTGGGTAAACAGGATTAACCAGCCCATTGATAGTCCAACTCATCATGATGTTGGAATACTTTTATCAAAGTAATCGTGGCATAAGTATAATTTTTTTTTCTTGTCATTAAAAATATTGTGCTGTAATAACTTATTAATGTTGTAAATAATTTAAGATATATTTATTAGATTTGATCTGTGTATTAATTCTTCTACAAAGGAAGGTTGCGAAATAACAGGTCTCGCAAAAACAGCAACTGCATGTAAAAACGATGGATCTGCTGCATGTATTACAGAAGACATGGGCTTGGGGCTTTATACAGTAATAATAGCACACGAAATTGGGCATTTGTAAGTTATGTATTTCTTGCTTTATGATATAGTGTATTGTATTCTTTATAGGCTAAAACAAACTTTAGATTTAAATTTAATTTGGCCAATTAAAATTATTTGATAACCCGGAATTGCTAATTTAAAAATATAAGAAAGAAATTTATCTGCGCCTGATTAAACACAAAATTGAGTTAATGAACACTTTATTTTTACAAGCTTTTGTTTAACATGAAATGTTATTTGGTATGTGAGTTCTACCTCTTTTAATTCTATTTTACCACAGCCACTGCATAAAGAGAAGACATGTTGCTATTTATTTAAATTACTAATTATATTATTAATTTATTATTAATTTTTTTTCGATTTTCATGGAATTGAGAGATTAAAACATTATCATCAATCGTTTTTTTTCAAACGAAAACTCACTTTTTTTTTCACTATTGAAAAGGTTTTTCAATTTGTTGCTTTTTGATAATATACAGGGTGAGTTTCCTACGATATTCTCTATGGGTATCTCGGAAACTACTAGAGATAGAGAGTTGGTTAAATGAGGAAAGAATTGCAGTTTTGTGGGGTCATAAATATGCTCCTTTCAGATTTTTGAAAAAGTTCTTGGCTTACTAGATATTTCGAAAGAAACAAATTTCGACTATTTTAAAAAATGCCCCTAATCCGATTATAAGCTATTTTAGACAAAAAGTTTTCAGATAAAAGTTGTCGATAATCACATCCTTAATGAGACTGTGTCCTCCGTTTTCTTCTAAAGCCTGTCATTTTTGACATATGACATAAACATATGTTTTTTTTAAATGGAAAACATAGTTGGCCATCACTTCATAAAAAGCGCCATTTTTTAAGCTTTTCAGCGATATAAGCTATAATATATTTTCTTCGAAAAATTACTGAGTTATAGCCAATTCTGATTATTTTTAAATAATTTCACTTAGTTAGCCATGGAAACAACTTCAATCGCCGTTGCACTCAGAAATGTGAAGCTGTCGCATCCAAACTTTGTAAATTAAAATAAACAAAAATTGTAAATATGAATTTTTCAAATGAAGAAAAGCGTGTAGATACTCGCGCTTCAATAGAGTGGTTCTTGCATGACTTTCATTATGACTCCCCCATAATGAAAGAAATGTTAAAAATTATTTATATCATAATTATGCAAACTGAGGGATAGGAAGAGGTGGACCAATTGCATGGGCCTCCTTGATCATCTGACCTATCCATTTTAGATTTTTTTTATGCGGTATGGTTAACAATAAAGTTTACAAAAGAACTTATGAATTAAGAGAGGCACTCGAATTGGCGGTACGAGAGAAGTTTAATTAAGTGGAGCGGTCCGTCTGTGAGAATAGGTAGTAATTCAGTTTTAAAAAGATGCAACTCAAAACAATGGCGGATTTTTTGAACACTTTCTAAACTACCTTAAAGTGTATGCAGTGATATTATTTTTTTAAGTTTTAGTTTGTGTAATGTAAATTGTAAGGAACCGTTTAGTAATCTGACTTTTTTTAAGTTATAAATCATAACAGAATAAGAATACCATGCAATCTAATTGAAATTAGTCAAGAAAGATAAGAATTTGCAATAACTAAATTTAACTTTTCTAACATGTCTTTAAAACCGTTCTCTAAGAAAAGTAACATTCACCGGTCAACGTATCCTCGAAAATGTATGGTCAAAAAAAGTTGAACCAATAATCCTACACGCTTTTCTTCATTTGAAAAATTCATATTTACAATTTTTGCTTATTTTAATTTACAAAGTTTGGATGTGACAGCTTCACATTTCTGAGAGCAAAGGCGATTAAACTTGTTTCCATGGCTAACTAAGTGAAATTGTTTAAAAATGATAAGAATTGGTTATAACTCAGTAATTTTTCGAAGAAAACATATTATAGCTTATATCGCTGAAAAGCTTAAAAAATGGCGCTTTTTATGAAGTTATGACCAACTATGGTTTTTTCCATTTAAAAAAACATATGTTTGTGTCATATGTCAAAAATGACAGGCTTTAGAAAAAAACGGAGGACACAGTCTCATTAAGGATGTGATTATCTCCAACTTTTATCTGAAAACTTTTTGTCTAAAATAGCTTATAATGGAATTAGGGGCAATTTTTAAAATAGCCGAAATTTGTTTTTTTTTCCAAATATCTAGTAAGCCATGAACTTTTCAAAAATCTGAAAGGCGCATATTTATGACCCCACAAAACTGCAATTCTTTCCCCATTTAGCCGACTCTCTATCTCTAGTAGTTTCCGAGATACCCATAGAGAACATCGTAGGAAACTCACCCTGTATAATCCTATACTTAAAATAAATTGTATTTAAGATATTTAAGATTTAGTTTTAAAGCGTAAATTTTTCTTGATTGTATCTAGCTTCTATAATTCCTTCCTATATTTTAGACATTAAGTGTCAAACAGTGAGACAGTTTATTTCCTTCTGTCAAAAAGTAATTATTTGAATTTAGTATATTATAAATACTACTGCTACAACTTTATAATGTATATTTATAAAGGTATATTTCGAATTTTAGTGGCAATATGACATGGCCAGATATAGTTTAAAATCGCCTGACGTTTAAAGTCATGGGCTGCTGTTTAAAAACCAGAAAAATATACGTTTTAGAACTGAATTTTAAATACCTTAAAAACAATTTATTTTAGGTATAGAAACATGTATAATCAAAATGTGACGAATTAAAAAGCCTTTTCACTAGTGGAATAAAAAAGGGGGTTTCCATTTGAATAAAATGATTTATCATATTTTTTTAATCTTTGAATTCCATGACATTTACGGCTAATATTTTATGACATTCAAACAATTTCATTTTTGAAATCAGCCATTAAATTATTAATTTTGACGTTTAGGCTATCCAATTTTTTTTGATAGGCGGTTTTTTCATCCGAAAGTTTTAAATATTTTTTTTTCTTAAAAACGGTTAATGTTAGGTATAGAATGTTTCATATAAAAAATCATAAAATTTTATAGAGAATTTAAATATATAATAAAAAATAGAGGCACCTATTTAAAATAAGAAGGTTGCTTTCAATTTCCGGTATTTCCGGAAGTGCTGCCATATTAAAAATATTTTAATCGATAGATATCATTGTGAAATAATGATGTGCAAGAAATTTCCAATCTAGATATTGTAGTTCTCTAGAAACTTATAATGCACGCTCAGTCTGGAACACCCTGTATATATTGTGTCTAAAACTGAAGTGAGAAATCTGTGACAAAATTACGAATTTTATTTGACACTTGTAAAAAGTCAAAGTAATAAAATTAGCCATGGCAGCATTATGATCTGCATGTGTCACATATTTTCATAATGTGCTCGTCAACTTTACTGATATTCCTCTAATTACCTCTAATAAATCTCTAATTACACTAATATCTAATAAGTATTTGATATAAATATATTTTCAAGGCAATTTCTTTGTAGATTAGGTCTGGTCGATGATCAAAAAGAAAGACATTGCAGTAGTATTGATCCAACTGATGGCTCACACTACGTTATGTCACCACATACACATGTTTATACTATCAAATGGTCCGAATGTTCCAGGGAGGATTTCAAATCATTCTTTCAGTGAGTGTTCTAATTATTACATACTGTTAACTACTAATTTATATGTATACTTAATTTATTAACTTATTTAATTTATATGTTATACTAATTTATTAATGTCGATCAATTTAGAACAAAGCAAAGTGAATGCCTTGATGATGAACCTACTACAAACTTGTTTCCTTACGTTGATAATATGCCAGGAGTGATTTATAATGAAAACGATCAATGTAGAATAATGTTTCCTGAAAGCAATGGCGCTTGCCATCCCACAACACTTGATTTTTGTTCTTTCCTAATATGTCGGACATTTAATAATACTAAATGTACGGGAATTAAAGGTCAGGGGCCTGTTGATGGTACAAAATGTGCAGACAGCAAAGTAAGCTATATGCTGTAATAGTTAGTTATACATAAAGAGCCTTAACCCTCTCGGGACGACTGTCGGTGCATAGACGACAGGAAAAAAAGTGCGTCGGGGACGGCTGGGTGTATACACGACATCAACTCAATGCTTCTTTATGGCACTGCAGAAACTCTCAGTGCTACGGCAATTTTTTTTTCCGGGAAGCCTCAGTCCCGAAAGGGTTAATAGGATGATAATAACCGGAAGGTGACAAGAAATTTTCAAAAGGACAGAAGGATAATTTTCAGGCTATAGATAAATATATTATGAAGTCTGCGAAGAGGAACAATGATTGAAATAGTTGGCTATACTGTGTTATGATGCGTACAGACCTGACGAGATCCGCGCGAGACGAATCTCTAAGCAATCTCGTCGTTCTTTCGTTATATGCTAATGTCGATTACACACGCATTATGATACGGAAAACAAATTCAAATATCGGCAGAAAATAATTTTATTTATTTTTTGGCTTGTTTTAACCTTTCCGATGAAGACTGGATAAATATATAAGTTACAGTGAAATTCGAAAATTCACTAACAATTACGCATTGAACCAGGGAGTGTCTTATTTTAAAGAAATTTATCGACTTTTACTAGTAACTTCCAACATTCACTAGTAAAAATAACATTTACTAAAGATTGTCAGTAAAATTTATTCTACAATGATGATGAAAAACGGCGTCAGCGATGCTACGAAATGAAGGTAGTTGTCATTTTATATGTAAAACAATATGGGGAATGTAACGGATTGTCATTCCCAAGCCAACAGCGCTGTTTTTTTTCGATCGTACGGTATTTTACAGGGTGATTGTGGTGAGGAAGAGCGTTGGTGGAAGTTAGAACAAATAAAAATATATTGGATCACCTTAATATTCAAGCTGATTCACATATCTTAAAATTACAACTTACTTTAGTATATTTATTAAAAATTATAGAAAGTAACGACACATTATAACCTTTTAAATATTAAAAAAAATATAATAAACATTTTAAATTGTACAAAACAATTAAAAAACCATTCATAAACATAAGATTACTTATTGGTAAAAGGTTTTTTCATAAAGTTCTTCATCGTGGAGGAAATAAAGAATGCCTGAATTTTCTCCAACTGGAGCTAATTAGTTTTTTCAAACCCGGCACTTCAATCAAGCACATCAAAACGTTTAATAAGTTCATGGTCACTAGGTTCAAGGTCCTTAATAAATTTTCTCTAGCCCTTAACTGGCGTTGCGGAGTCCCTGGGACTCTAGTAAAAATAAATTGTTTAATAACTTTAGTATTTGTCGACCAAATGACGCGCGTCGTCTAGTAGCTTCCTATGGTGGTGGTACCCATCGGATGTTGAGTCGACTTCGATCTGTTATTACGGCAAGTGCGTCTAATAAACACCTTAGAGTCCGTGGGACTCTACGACGCCGTTAGTATCATGATATCAATTTAGTGACTATGTCTATGAAATTAAAGGTGGTTAAAGCCACAGATACCAACTTTGAAGAAACAAAATGTTAAGATGGTTTGATGAAAGTTAGGAAGAGTTTTCTGGCCAAGATGGAGAACCTGAGGGCCATGTTACAACAGAAAATCTTATCACAAGTGATCACGACATGGCGAGTGAGATGTCTGCCAATGAGTCTGATAATCAAGATGAGATGGAGGTTACTGAAACTTTAGACGAGAGTGACGCAACTGAACCGACTAAAAAATATTTCTGTTCAATCAAATGTTCAAGAAAAGTGTGTCTTCAATGCATAAACAATACCCAAGATTCCTAAATAAAAGCTATACTTTATTTGTTTTTAAACACTTGTCAATTTTTTGCAATTTTACATTAGGGGTGGTTGTATTCTCTTTTTTTGTAGTTCTCACCTTGGTGAATACGTTTTTCTATGAGTATTTTTTTTTGTTTTTATTTTTCTTTTTGTAAAATGCGATGAAAAGTAGCATAATGTTCATTTTGTACAAACTGTATCACTTTTGGTTTGTTTGTATTTTTTACTTTATTTTGCAAGTAATATGGTTGTGAAAATAAAAATATATTTCCTTGTAAGTGTTTAACGATATATATATAACGAAAAAAATAAATTATGTTATGATAACACTAATATAGAGCACCTGTATATTTTGGAGCCCGGGGACTCCGCAACGCCTGGAGTGCTAAAACTTCCGACCACGCCTGTTAAGGGCTAGTATACTTTTGCTATGATTATATTATATTATATATTATTATATTGCAAAAATTAAAAATTTATTATTACATTTTTGCGAGAGCCGATTTTGTTTTAATTTTTCACAGAAATTTTCTTCCATTTAGGGAAAATTCCGCATAGCACATTTTACAACGATAACAAAACAGTTATACATAACCACAAAAAACAAAATGAATTTACGTCAGATGTCTGTCAATGTTGCCAATGTTTAACCCAATTTAACGTTATCCTTATATCGCCTATTATTCTACTTATCCGTATTTATCCTTATATTTTACAACATATGGCAACCAACTGAATATAGCGCAAACTGAATCTTCCAAACATAGAATCTTCCAAGCTCACTGTTATCCTCCAGGGAATACTAGCTTTCACTAGTAAAAGTTGGTATCAAAAATAGCTGTTGAACTTTTACTGGCGTAGTCTTAGCAAATCAGGAAATGGGAACTTTTACTAGTAATTTTTAACAATCACTGATTTCTGACGTATACTGTAGCATATATATTTTTTAAATTTATTTCCATCCGAACCAGCTCAATGAGAATAGCCAACTATTTCCATAGATGTTAAACTATTTCCCGAGATAATAGATTTTAGATTTCCTTCATCATTATTTCAATATTTTTTAATTATTTATAGTGGAAGAGGTATACTTTTCCATGATTTTTGTTGTCAAAGGTTTATTAGGGAACTTTTTGCCTCACAAAAATATTAGAGGACGTTATAGATATAGATCATAATGCCTTTTAATATGAATCATAATATCAACGAAAAAAAAATCACAAGTAAAGCAAAAAACATATTTTAGTGGTGTTACAAACAAAAATGTGTTGCTATGGGCTCTAGACCTGGTGCTATCAACGGTGGTTGGAGCGACTGGACTGATTGGTCTCCATGTAGCAGGACTTGTGGTGGAGGTGTAACTTATAGAGAAAGATATTGTAGCAATCCAACTCCAACCAACAGGGGAAAGTACTGCATTGGTGATAGAAAAAGTGTTAAATTATGCAACACACAAGTAATATATAGTATATTTTTCATACAGTCTCTATCAATGCCATAATATCGCAAAAAACGATGTGAAAGATGGCCGAAGGATGGAAATCGATCATAATTTTGGCGAGGTCAAGCCCTAGATCTTATTTACTTGGCCTCTGCTCTTCTTTATTTTTTAATAGCCCTTACTGCCAGTTGGCCTTAAAGAAAGAATTATTTTTTGTAAATAGATTTGTGTATCTGGAAAAGTTCTATCCTTTTTTAATCTTTCTATAATTAGTGTCAATTTTTGATAAGTTTTATATCAATTCTTAGTAAATGACATCTAGAGATTGACTTCGACAAAATTATCATCGATTCTCGTTCACGAACCATCTTTGACGCCGTTTTTTTCGAATATACGGTATTACTCATCGTCGTAGTTCAATACAAAATAAAACACTAAATCACCACAATACACCAAAACACTTTTACTATGATGATGATCAAGACTATCTGTCTTGATCATCTGCTGATGATGCTAACTTTTTTACTTATCTGCTAACATCTGCTAACTTTTTTACTTATTTTTATCTGCAGAATATACTGCCGAAGTTTCCGGAATACAATTCGGACCACCCTGTATAAATTGATCTACAACTTTGAAACTTGATATTTTTGTGGTGTGCGTGCATTTTCCCAGTATGCAATGACCAGCAGGTCTTAATTCTGAAATTTTTAGTTCTTCATTCTCACTACAAAACAAAACAAAATAAAACACTAAATCACCACAATACACCAAAACACTTTTACTATTACACTGGACGCGCGTTTCGCTAACCATGTTAGCATCTTCAGCAGATGATTATAAACTGTTTGTAGTTTATTAGTTTCGCTAACCATGTTAGCATCATCAGCAGATGATTATAAACTGTTGTAGTTTATAATCATCTGCTGATGATGCTAACATGGTTAGCGAAACGCGCGTCCAGTGTAAAAGTAAAAGTATTTTGGTGTATTGTGGTGATTTTGTGTTTTATTTTGTAGTGTAACACCAAAGGTTTCAACCCCCAACTCTAAACTTCAATACATCTTTCAATATTTCTTTCCAGCTATGTCCAGAGGATTCAATTTCATTTCGTGAACAGCAATGTAAAGAACAGGATTTAAAATCTACTAAGTCAGAAAATATAACCTATCATTGGACGGCCGTCTATAATTTTGGTAATTATGACAAATCTAGAGATATACTATGTGCCAAAAAGTTCGCAACATATTTAAATTTACATTAAGTTTATGCTCAATCGACTCATAATATTTACTTATAATAATTTTACTTACTAAATATTTTTAATATATAGATTATAGGTTCTAATCCCGGGATTTCGAAACGGGATCCCAATACCGATCTCGAAAATTGGAAACCCTAATTATACCTCTAACTCAACTTATTAAATATTTAAAGGATTTTTTTTGTATTTTGTCGCCATAACAGTTTATGTATGTCCAATTCATATCAAAATATTTTTTAAGATTTGCTGCAAACTTTTTGGAATACGTTACATGGTTATGGTTATATTGTTAGCTTATAATAAACTCCGTTTTTTATCAGATTCACCATGTACGTTAATATGTTTTACAAAAGGTCTAGGACTGTTTAATTTTGGAAATGCTAAAGATGGAACCTTATGTAACCCAGGTACTCGAAATCTGTGTATAGCTGGACATTGTAAAGTAGGATGAATATGACTTCCATTTATTTTATATAATAAAAATTAATAAACTTTCAGACAGTTGGTTGTGACCTAAAAATAAATTCAGAAGCTATAGAGGACAGATGCGGCATCTGTAATGGTGATGGAACCACCTGTAGACTTGTTGATGGGATTTACAATGAGGAAGTGTCAGATCCTAAAAAGAGTAATGTTTTATATTATTTTAGCTAAGCAGATTAAATTAACAATAACAAATAAGTTAAAAAACTTTTTAAACTCGGTCGTGTATATTATTATATTGCAGTGCCTCCGGATCAAGCAATAGCTAACATTCCAGTAGGATCAAGAAAGATCTTTATAAAAGAACTTGAGGAATCAGTAAATATACTGGCAATTAGCGATAAAAACAAGAAGGAACCAACGTTTTTTCTAAACAAAGGAGGGTGAGTAATTATTTTTATCAATAAATATATTAGGGGGAAGTCGCCTATCGATGGTTCTTGTTGACCTCCCCCCCCTCCCAGTATGGGTTGACTAGGGGTAGATCGACGACCTCAAATCTCATGTGCATCACGCAGTTTATTGCGGAAACGTTTGACCATCGACATCAAGTTGATGTAGTGTATACCGATTTCTCAAAGGCATTTGACAAGCTGGATCACGGCGTTTTGATTTCCCATTTGGAAACTTTGGGTTTTCCTTCAGTTTCCTAAGTTTATTTAAATCGTATTTGAGTGACAGGAAATTAATTGTGGAATGCTGTGGTCAAATGTCTTTTGAGGTGAATGCTACCTCTGAGGTTCCCCAGGGGTCAATTCTGGGTCATCTTTTATTCAACATTTTCATGAATAGTGTTGTTGAACGTTCAAATGTTAACATTTTATTGTATGCGGATGACATAAAGATTTATTCACAGGTGAGCCCTGTTGATAATTTTCAAATTTCAGGAATCGTGAACTGCTGTACAGATAACGAACTTCTCTTAAATATTGAAAAATGCTCCATCGTTTCTTACAGCTTAAAACAAAAAATATTTATTATACCTATAATGAAGAAATGCGACGTGAAATGACTGTTCGAGAGATTTGGGAGTTCTGTTCGATTGCAGGCTGTCTTTTGTACCACACATATCGGAGATTGTACAGCGGTCTTTTAGAGCCTTGGATTTTATTATTATAAACCGAAAAGAATTTTCCAGCTCTGAGGCACTTAAGCTATTATATTTTACATTTGTTAGATCTAAGTTAGACTACGCATCTGGTATATGGTCACCATGTTACCAGACACATATTAAAAAACATCGAAAGTATCCAGCGACGGTTTCTGAAATTTTTTAATTTTTAAAATAGATGAAAATTGCCTTTTTAGAGGCTACCCTCATGATGAACTCTTGGAACGTCATTCGTTTTCCTCTTTAGTCGATCGCGGCGGAATATTTGACATTAAGACGCTATATGGTGTTATTCATGATAAAATAGACTGCTCAGATATTCCCAATAGGTTGAATATTTTTGTTCCGAGAACGGCAGCTCGGCACTTCAGCACATTTTATGTTGATGCTTGTAGGACCAATATTAACAAAAATTCTCCAATCAATAGAATGCATCTAGCTTACAATCAATAATTTGGAGTGGTTTGATTTGGATATGTTTCAGATATATTTCAGATGGTAAGTAAGATATAAGAAGCCAAGTGGTACGATTTTGGCAACCGACCTCCTAAATCGTACAATTTGCAAGGGTTATGTAAAATTGATGCTTCTGTTAAAATATTGCTAATAAGTACCTCTGAAATAAATATATAAGATGTGGAAGAGGTCAAAAAAATATTCGCATTTTTTTAACTTTTGTGTAAAGCGGTACAGTTTAACCTAGTCTCCATTAATTGTTTAAATAATATATTTCATTCAATTCGTAGTAATAGCAAATTTCGTGGATCATTTAAACTTCCTGGAACCAAAGGTTTTTATTATACAAAAGGCAAGAATATGGAACAAGATCATATAGTTATTGACGGGCCCACCAGTATTGATCTAGTTGTATGGGTAATAAATAATGTAATTCTTGGTTTTTCTATTATTTTTAAAACAAGCACTATATAATATGTAGCTTATGTACTTCAAAAATAACATCGGAGAATTTTCAAACCCAGGATACCATTACCAATGGGCAGAACCGGAGGAAAGAAATAAATATGACCCTGTTTATAGTTGGGAAATTGGTAATAAGAATATTTTTATAAAGGAAATATTTTGACACATTCACTATTTTCTGAATAGCTGAATAGATATTTTTTATATTTTGTTAGTTTTTTTTTTAAACTGAATGTATATTTTTTTATAAATATGACTTTAATTATGATCAAATAAATGTATGGTATAGGAGAGTATGGAGACTGCAGTGCTAGATGCGGTGGTGGTGTTCAAGAACCAATATGGAGCTGTATGGAAGAAAAAGGTGGCATGGTTAGTCCAACCTATTGTATTGGAATTAATAAACCTACACAACATTCCAAAAAGTGTAACGAACAATCCTGTCATACTAGGTAAATATATAACTACTTGTAGTAAATAAATAAAAATATATATTTTTTATTTTTAAGAAAATTGGCAAACCGTTTTTCTTGAGCCTAAGTACTTTTACACACATTTCAATGCCAAACCGAATGGTGATAGTGTAAAATTCCGCAACAGCCCAGAAAGAGTACTTTCCATTATGATAGAAAGTACTACTGTTGGTACTTCTTTTGTCCTTATACAGACCGGACCACCGTAGTAGTAACATAGGCAGAACCGGACGAATTATCGTATACCCGTCCGCCGGATAAAAAGCAGGCGAAAAAATGCGATAAAATAAAAATAGGTATAATATAATATATATAATATAATAATATATAATAATATAAAAAAGGTATATATAATGTGATAAGAATGTTTCAGAATTTGTATTTATTCGTGTTTTAATAGTCAAAACGAATACATAGATTCTCGCGACAGTTCTCGTGTAAAATTTATTTTTTAAGTAGAATAATGGATGTTTACGAAGTTCGTGAGAAAATTCATATTGTAAAATGGTATTTCCAAAATAGGTTTGCCATTCTTTACCGTTTTAGTCAAACCGTTTAATTAGTGGATATGAAACTATTTTGTGGCCCGCTAGATCACCAGATCTTTCTCCCAATGATTTCTTTTTGTGGGGTTATGTAAAATCCAAAGTATATGGTCATAATAGGGCTAATATTCTGGATGAGCTTCAAGTAAAAATACGAGAGGCTTTCCAAACTATTAGCCCTAATATGTTAGCCAATGTCAGACGGGAATTTTACGACCGCCTAGGTTTCTGTCTAGCACAGGAAGGTGGACTTTTTGAACACTTGTTATAACTTTTTTTTATTTAGAATAATATTTTAGTTTTTTTTAATTTTATTGATGTATTTTTTAATTTTGGAAATGAGTTTTGGGTTTAGAGAATTTATTTTTAGTTTTGGCTTGTAATGTTGACTCAAATAATAAATATTTAACTATTTTTATTTTAAATGTTACCTTAAGTGAAGGTAAGCACTTAAAATGAAAATAATAAATACTCGGCACTCCTCGCGTCGTATTCCTAGTCTGTCACGACCGACCCGTCCAAGCACAACTGCACCTGACCAGCCGACTAGCCGGCAGTGAATCTCCATGTACAAACGCAAGTCGGGTAAACGCAAATTCGTCCGGCAACTTGCTATGTTACTAGTAGCCTGGTCTTCTCTGTAGATACATTAATTTCAACAGATGAAAATTAAAGCTTTATATGTAAAAAAAGGTGCTCTTCGTTTAGTTCGAAACGGTCAACGGTTTTCAAGATATTTACGTTTAAAAATGATAAAGATAAAATTATTTATACCTGAATAGAATACCAGCAGTAGTACCCTGTACCCTAATGAAAAGTATCCTTTCAGGGCTCTTACGGAATTTTACATGATGTCCATTCGCTTTGGCTTTAAAATGTGTATAAAAGTACCAAGTTTTGAGAAAGACGCTTTACTAATTTTCTTAAAATCAAACAAAATATAATTTTTTTATTTAGCCGTTCGTGGAGGACTGTAACTTCATCGGAAAGCATTTTAGGGCATATGTTCATAGGAACTTTTTATCTTAATTTTATTCGAAGAATCACCTACCAAAGGGTAAGGTACCAGGTACGGTACCAGGCCCCTAAAAAAAAGATGGCGGCCGTTTGGCGTCAAATTATATCCGGTTCATGAACTGCTTCTGAACTGATTTTGAACAGTTTTCAACCGCTATCGTACAGCTTATCATCAGAATAGACCCTGTTAAAAACAGTTCAAAAGCGGTCTGTGTCAAACCGGGTCTATTCAAAAGCAGTTCATGAACAGGTCATGATATATTTATTTTAGATGGAACGTAGGCAGTTGGGGTAAATGTCACGCATGTAAGAAAAAAGGCGGTGTCAGAACAAGAAGTGTACAATGTCTGCAACAAAATCCTAATATAAAGGGAGAATCAATACTTGTAGAGGATTCCCAATGTACAGGTACCGTATTATTACAGTTGGGCAGTTGAAATCTTTGGCGTTACAACAGCAAAATAAAACACTAATTCACCAAAATATACCAAAAGACTTGCTTTTTCACTAATAACTCGTTTGCTTTTAATCACCTGCTGATGATGCTAACATGGTTAGAGAAACGCGCATCCAATGCAAAATTAAAAATGTTTTGGTGTATTGTTGCGAATTAGTGTATTTTATTTTGTTACCGTATTATTGACAAATAGTCTAGGAGCTAGCCCCGTGTGCCGTTGTATATCCCCTAAATTTTGTTGCGGGGATTTGTTAAGCACCTCTAGGAGTAATTGACAAAATTGGTCACATGGTCCAGAACATGGTCATTTTGTTGCCATATTTAAAAATGGCTGCCAAATTCTAAAAATTTTTTGACTATATTTCCGTAAAAAGTGCTCCGATTTTGCATTTTTAAAGATCAACTTACTCCTCTTATGAAGAAAAAAAAATGTAATTAATTTACTGACAAATTTATTAGTTATTGGGATATTTTTAACATTTCCACTTAGCGGAGGAATATGGAATATTTTCTTTAATTTTATTGAAATTACACATACTTGTGAGTAATTTCAGGTGATTAATTTTTTTTCTAATTTGTGTAGCATAAATTGTCACATTGACAACGCCGCTCCTGTGTCGCCGCGAAAATGGTACTGCCTATGCTCTACGTTTAATTGACATTGTACGGAGTCGGGGATATGACATAAATCATCTTTTATCGTATGAATTAACTTCTACTTTCTTGTTTTTAACAAGAAATGGATTTTTAACAAAATCTGAACAATATAGCTGGTTCATGAACTATAAAAGAAGTTACAAATACCGGCAAAATCCGAAACTCCTCAATCTGCGGGAAAAGCAACAATCATAGACTTTATGGCTTTTGCAAGGAAGGTACCAGCTAAATCTTTAACACTGAAAACATATGAAGAGTTTGTGGGAAGCATTTGGAGTACCATATGCAAATCCTCTCATAAAAGCGAGCGCATAGACATTGTTTTTGACGTTTACAAGGAAAAAAGCGTGAAAGGATTTGAGAGGGCTGAGCGATCGCGGAAACAGCCTGTGGAATATGGAGCACCAAATGACAACACACCACTTCCTGTGGATTTTGATGCTTACTGGGCCTCCTGTCAAAACAAAGAATTATTGCAGTCATACCTTGTTGATTGGGTATCCCGAAAAAAAGATGCATCAATTCCGATTTACATGGGTGGCGTTGTTAAAAATGGTAAGCCAAAGTGTTTCAGTATAAAGAATGGCAGAATTGAAGAAGAACGTACGTTGGAATCTGATCATGAAGAAGCGGATGACAGAATGCTAACCCATATTTCTCACATGATACTGACTACAAACGTAAAGAACGTAGTTATTTGTTCTACCGATACTGATGTTTTTGTTAGTGCACTTTACCACTACTTGCAGAAGTGGAAAAGTGCAAGATTTAAAGAGCTTTATGTTGCCATTGGAGTAGGAAAAACGTTGCGGTATATTCCACTTCACTCGTTTGATGGCAGATTACCTCTTAATGTTTTAACAGCTTTACCTGCTATTCATTCTTTAACCGGTTGCGACACTACAAGCAAGGTTAGTACAAAATGAGCAGCTCTGAAAGTAGCAGAATCGTATGCTGAAAAGCTCTTGTTAGAATTTGGTAAAGAGCCATTAAACGAAGAAATGGAAAAACAAGCAGAATCATTTTTGGTTCGTGCACTTTCATCAAACTTGAGTACAATAGATAAGTTGCGTTTCCATCAGTTCCATCATAAAAAATTACGAAACTTTCAAGATTTGGCCCAACCTTCAAGATCAATCTGTCTTTACATAAAACGGAGCTACTTGCAATGCTACAAATGGATTCATGCTTTGGAACCATGTGAAAAACCGAGTGAAAAACTTAATCCGTTGAACTATGGTTATGTAGAAAGAGATGGTATTTTGATTCCACAAGTAACAGACGATCTAGAGCAGTAGTTCCCAAACTTATTTTTCTCGTGGACCACTTTCAAAATTTTACTGGTTTCGGTGGACCCCCTGCTGCTACATTTCTACCACATTCTTAAAGTCGCCAAAAAATAAAAATTGTGTCACTTCTGAGTTCTGTCCCTATATTCCGATATGTAAAATAAAAACGAAAAATGGTACATTTTATATCACTTTATTTATTAAAAGAATAGAATTACAAGAAAAAATATTAAGGTAATATAGGTTCAGGTCATAATTTTAATTAATGGGAAGGATGTATCTGATGGAGTGTCAGCAAACGATCAATGTTTGGCTTTATTTTTGTGAGCAATAACCGCAAATCCCCCGCTCTGTGATGTTTAATTTGCTCCTTTTTTGTTAAGAGGTTTGTAACGGCACTAAAACTCCTTTCGACAAGGTATGACGAGGGAAAAGCTATTAAAAATTTCCTTGCGATTTCCCACAGTCCAGGATATTTTTCGGGTATTTCTGCTTGCAGCCAAAATGTTGGGTAGCCTTTTCTAAATTTCACCTTCAGCTCCTCATTAGTGCTTAGCTCGAGCAGCTCCTCTTGTAATACAACATTGGCCACTTCCGTTTCATCAAATGGATTTATGATCCATGGTGGTATATCCATCGTCAGTATATCTTCAAACCTGGTTTTGAAGTCATCATGCAGAGCACTTAAATGTTGACTGTAGGTATGGATATCCTCATCAATACATTCTACCTGCGACAAGTTTGGAAATTGAGAGAATTCGCGCCGACTAATGTTTTGCTTCATAAATTTCAATTTCCCAAGAAAAGCCGAAATTATCCCCTTTGTTTTTATTAAATTCAGGCTGTCCCCTTGTAACTGCAAGTTAATATCATTAAATTTTTTAAACAAATCTGTCAAATACGCAATGTCTGCTTTGAATTTGATCAAGTTTTCTTTTAAATCTGGATCTCTACTTTCTAAGAACTCTAATATGGAATCGAAAACAGAGTAAAATCTCGTTAAGCATGCACCTTTCGACAACCAGCGTACTTCAGTATGTAAGAGCAGTCGTTGGAAGTCTTCATCATTTTCGTCGCACAATTGAGCAAATAAACGCGTATTCAATGCATTGCTTCTGATTTTGTTGACAGCTTTTATTACAAAATGAAGAGATTGGTTCAACCTGTCACTTAAATGTTTTGCCACAAGATGTTGTCGGTGGATTACGCAATGAATAGCTGTAAGTCCTGGTATAATTCTTTTGAGATGACTTATAAACCCACGATATCGCCCGACCATTGCAGGAGCTCCGTCTGTTGCCACTGAAATAATGTTTGTAAATGGGATCGATTTTTCCGTAAAAAAATTACTCAGGACATTAAATATTGATTCGCCTTTAGTGTCAGTCTCCAAAGTTCTGGCAAATAGCAATTCTTCGTGAATTTCTTCCTCAACAATAAATCGGACATATGCCAATAGTAATGCTTCATTACTGGGTAACGTTGACTCGTCCAGTTGTATAGAAAAATGAGTTTTTTGCAGATGATTGCACAAAAAGCTTTCGATATCAGAGCTCATTTCATCAATGCGTCTTTGTACAGTATTGTTACTTAATGGAATTCTTTTTAGTACGTCAAATGGAGATTTGTGCAAAACAGTTTTTAAAACCTCTTCAACAGCGGGTAAAATTAATTGTTCTCCGATAGTGTGCGGTTTTCCAGATTTTGCTATAAGTAATGAGATATTGTAAGATGCCCGCAAGCCATCATCGTTACTTTGAGATGTTGAAGCGAACATACTGTGCATGGTGGGTCTCTTTCCATATTTTTCTTTCAATGTTTGAAAATATTTTAAATCTTTACCTATTTTATCAGTATGACACCTTTTTAGATGATCTTCGAGCTTTGATGGTTTCATAGAGTCATTGCTCAAAACTTTGTTGCATAATAGGCACATGGGCAATTGTTTGTCTGCCTCTGATGGAACAAAACCATATTTCAAATAATCGATACTATATTGTCGACATTTTTTCTTTGCTGTAGCCATGTTTCGTGTCAGTTACCTTACCTGTAAAAAAAAGTTTTAGTAACCAAGTTTTTCTCTAATATAGGTATCACACCGCAGCCTTTGTCAGCACGCGGAAATAGAATTACGGCTTGTAAAGGGACCAACTAATAAACCGCTGAGACAAATACATACGTTTTCACAAAACGGTATCAATTTTAAAGTACATAATTTACCACTAATTTTTAATAGTATAAATAAAAATTGGTGTACTCAGTATCGAATACTGATCATATTTGTGTAGGAAAAAATAAAAGTCGAAATCCCAAAATTGTCCATAAAAACGATAACTAACATTTTATTAAATCAATGAGTTCACGCGCTCCGTGTATTTGCGTATTTTTGTCTGCGGCTTCATTGTTAAAACGTGACAAACTGGCATCGAAGTCCAAGCCCCGCCCTTTCCCGTCGCCCGCGCACCGCTCGCTCTTTCCGAAAAGGAATAGTTTTGATAAAATAGTTACTTCAAAACCAATTTAAAATGATTATGAAATTACTGTTTTATAAAATTAGTAGTTATTTGCAAGAAAAATTACAAAATTAATTGCTCTGCAATATTGCTTATTCGGCCTTTTTAGAGAGGCAGTGTTTCTCTCGTGAAAAAACAATTGAATAAAACGTGCTGTGTTTGTCTTCAAATCGAAAGAGGACAATTAAAATATCTGTAAGTTACTAAGTTACCTATCTATACAGGCCGTTGTGATCAACCGACTAGTACACGTAAACAAAATACTTAAGTACTATAACAAAAAAAAAAAGGTAGGTTACTTACTTTTCTCCGGCACTAGCAAACACAGATATAAATTTTCTCACAACTTTTTTTCCAAATTCCGCCTTTTTTCGAAATTCCGGAAACAAATGAATGCGTTTGCCTTTGGCATCAAGTATTTATAGTGGTGATCAAGTTCATGTCTGAACAAGCATTAAGCATTGTCGGGCGGATAGCGCTTTGCAAGTCTGTACACGAAATTGTACGTAATATCGAATACGCAAGTTTGGACAAGTAACAGTCGCTTGCCTTATTAAAATATTATCTGCTTAGATAGGTACTTAAAACAATGTAGGTAGGCCCTTATAAAAACTATGCTTACATTTTTGCTCTTTACTATCAAAAGCAGATAAATTTTCGTGGACCCCCATTAACATCTTATGGACCCCCATTTTTTGTTCACGCCTACGTAGACCCCCAGCAAGTCTCCCGTGGACCCCTGGGGGTCCACCTGGACCACTTTGGGAATCACTGATCTAGAGGACCCGAAGACTTTTCTAGTCCATGTAGTTGCCAGATGTGCTTCAGAGAAACTGTATGTCCCTGTAGAAAATTAAAAATAATGTGTTGCGACTTTTGTAAATGTAAAAGTAGTGTTTTAGACCAATGCAAGAACCCTCATACATAAGTTAGTAAGTTTTCTGCTTAAACATCTTAATTTTTTGCATTTGAATAATTATACTTGTTGCGCGTTTTTTGCGAATAGGTACGTCTTTTGCATTTAAATATACTTTTATTATTTTGAAACGAATTTTTATCAGTGCTTAAAAACGCGCCATGGTTCCATATTTTTAAATTATACTTTCCTCAAAAGAACTACAGTTAAAAAATACGTATTTACAAAATTTGTTTGCGGTCAAAAAATTATAATAACCTTTAAAATTAAAATCCCGACCGTTTGTTAGGAAGATATTAAAATATATAAGAAATTAGTAACATGTCGGCCATTTTTCAATATAGCGACTAAACGACCACGATCTGGAGCGTGTGACCAGTTGGTTTTTAAGCTCTTATACATATTTAATAAAACGCCGCACAAAAACTTAGGGGCATATAACTGCTCACGAGACATGGGCTAGCGCCCGCACTAGTGCCTCACAGTTGCTTTTGAAACCAGTCGATGACAAGTTGGCGAACCTTATATGTCATTTATTACAAATAAATATAAGAATTCGTCAAAAACTAAAATTTAGTTTAGAAGAAAATATTTCCCGATGGTTTACATCAAATTCTGACAAGATCTTATATCAATTTTTAGGAGATGAGAAAATACTTAATGTTTCTCAAAAGTAGCTCCCCCTAAAACATTTTGATTTTTTCAGATAAATAAACTAGATTTGGTACGTTAGTAATATGACTTAAATATGATTTATCCACATATTCATTTTTTTCCTAGGCATCGATCACCACGGTCATTAGCCATGTACAACTCTTGATTCATAATTGATACCAATGCAATTACAGAGGATCCCCCAAGGGATCACTCCTGCAAGACATAAACATTTCAAGTTGAGTAACAAAAAATTCAACAAACAAGCAAAAAAAAGTAGAAAAAAAAACAAACAACAAGAAAAATAGACATATTCAATAATTGATTTCGGACACTTGCCGGTGACTGCAATGACTGCAATTTTGGATTTTTAAAGGCCACCTTCGGTATTTTTTTTACTTTATTCGATATAAAATAAGACTCTAAATAGAATGACATATCATATATCAACTTTTTACATTACCGCGTAAAAAATAGTATTTTAAAGTTCAATTCAGAGTGTCATGGCTGTCTTGAAAACAGTAATTATATTATTAATCGAGGAGCTCTGGAAAAATAGATTTGATGGTCTAATGTAAAAAAACCTGTAAAAATATGCCCAAATCGTAGTTTTAATCATAACTATTTTTTTTCAAATGGAATAAGGGTGGCTCATTAGCACAATTGGAAAAAGCATTTTTTTACGAATAATTTGGTACAACACACTTTAGTATTTCGAGTCATTGTCCTTTTGACATTTATGTCCATGGCACTCTAAACTGAAATTTAAAATGCTATATTTTAATTGAAAATGTCAAAAGTTGACACTTGATATATCATTCTATTCAGACTTTTATAGTAAAAAATACCAAGGGTGTCATTTAAAAATCAAAATTTGTAGTCATTTCCGGTGAAATAGGAAGTGACCGAAAACAATTGAATAGTTAACAATCCTAATTTATATCATATACTAATAATACACCTAATCTCGTTTATTTATCTGAAAAAAATGAAATAAAAAAGTTATAAGAGGGAGCCACTTTTGTAATTTTGATTTTGAAGACTACTGCGACGCTATTTTTCTTAGAACGTATTGCTGATTTATGACTATTGTATAAAATAAAAAAAATACCTTTATAGGCCCAAAACCTGGATCCATACAACTCTGCGAATCAGACGTGCATTGTACCGTTAGAAAGAAGCGAAATGTTTTTATTCCGGGCATGCACCAATCATCTGTTTGGAAACAAATGAACCGAATCAATATTTACAAACGAGAGGTAAGTGCTGGCTTACCTGCATCCATCGTGCGTCATCCGTCGTTCCGTCATTCCAGTCGTATTCAAGTATAAGCTGTTATTATTGAAATAAAACGATAAAATTGCACAAAATCAACGACAGATGACGGGTATTTGTAAAACTAGACTAATAATATGCTATTTTTGAAGTCTTGTTGTAAATTCAACTATTGTTTATGCCTAACTAAAATCTCTCCAAAAAAATCCTGTATGGGTATTTCGCCACTGCAAGAAAATCTACAAAATAAAATAGTTATTTTTTTGTAAACACAGTTAATCCAACGGTAACTACCTGTCAGTAGTTCAGTTTACAGATAAACAAATTTGCCCAACAAACAAAAAAATGCTTAACGTTTCGGAAAGTTTATCTCTTTCCGTCGTCGGAAGCAAACAAAAATAGAAAGAATAAAAAAAAAATATTTAAAATATTTAAAATTCAACTAATCGAGAACACTTTAGTTTTTTTAAAACAGATACGTCTACAAAAACCATTGACGTTCTGTTAAAATGACATTATATCAAGTTAAACTTCAAAATTAACAATTATTACCTGATAACAATTACTAAGGTAAAACCAAAAAGCCTCAAACTTTCTCTATGATTATTTTTAATTTTTACGTTGTTAAGTTTAATTATGTTATGTTCTTTAAAATCAAAGAAGCGATTGCCATACATTACTAACATCTACTGATACATGAGCAATACATTTATTTTTATTTAATTGTATTAAAAAAGCCTCTTTTATTTTTCTTTTAGAGGCTATCGCTTCTTTCAATATAATTTTGGCGTTATTAAAATATATTCTGTGCCCTGTGTCCCATGAATGCCGACAAATCTTCATTTCTTAAATAATCTTTATGTCCTTTAATTCGAACATTTAAGGGTCTAGATGTTACACCAATGTAAAATTTATCGCATTCACATGGTATTTTGTATATTACATTTTTTGTTTTTTGTTCTGTATTCATTTGTTTAGTGTGCGATAACTAAAATGTGTAAACTTATTGCAAAAAATTATCAAAATATTCCTTATAATTCCAAAAGTTAATACAGCTAAATTATTGAAGTGAAACTTATTTACGCGCGATGGGAGTAAAAATTCAAGGCCGTAAAAGGCCACGGCCTTGACGCACGAGCTAGCATGAAGAAAAATTCAGTCCTTTACAAAGATGCAACCGGGGGGGCATTGAAAATGATGAATAAAAACGTAAAAATATGATTAGTGTTAATATGAGTGTACATATAAATATAAACATATATTTAAATAACGAACTTAACAAAAAACAACAGATTTAAAGATTCACTGAAAAAGTAGTAATGTTAACATTAAATAAAACATTATCAATAATAATTATGCGATCGCACCTATCCGTAAAACAAACAAGCAAAAAAACAAAATAACATACAAAACATCAGGTTAACATGACGACAGATCATGATCGGTGACAGATAAAGAATTCTTAACGGAAAGTTACACTTTACGATATAATTTTTTAACTGTTAAAGGCAAACCCGATTTAAACACAAAACTTTTTAATACCTACTACTGTATCTAAAAGACATTTTTTTTAAATTACTAAATTCTTAGCCACGCTTCTGTTTTTCTTGGCTGTTGTGCGTCACGTCACAGATTAACAGGCCCACGTTTGCACCACAAGGCGATGCTGCAGACCACTAGGTAGACCGGTCGTAGAAATTTATGTTATACAACTTGTAGTCAATCTACACAAATATTATCAAAAGCTTTTTCTTTTAAAATGTGTTCAGATTTTGTAAAAAGTATAAGTCAAAATCGCAAAACTTAAATTTGATATGAGTTTCTTAGTTTTTAACTAATATAGTGGCGAATTACAAAAATTCCTTTTCAATGAAAATTAACAAGTTAAATAAAATAATTTAATAAATTACTAGCTTTTTCCCGCGACTACGTTCGCGTTCCACCTCGAATCGTTCATCCATTGATTTAAATGATTTTTTACTAATTTATAGAGAGCTAGTAGTGAGCATAGATGTTTTTTATTTTTCATCTTCTTTTTATTTATTAAGAGCACTAATACTCTCTTTATAGGTTATTTTTTATTCTTTGAAGGATAATTGAGGAAGATATATTTCGTTATGATGTCACTAAATAAACCCTTGTATAAAATTTTATACTGTCTGGTTTATAATGTCCTATAGTATTGCATTTTCGTACAGCAAACTTTCATTCCCTATTCTACTCCCTAAGTGTATAAATTTCATAAATTCGCTTTATCTTTGTGCCAATTTTTATGTGTATAATCCAGAGGTCACCAAGTTTTATATAAATTTTTACTAACTTTATCCATTTGGTTGATGAATTTCAAAAATGTCTTCTAATTCTTTTTGTAGGATTTCATTCTTCTAGACCAAATAGTAAGGAATTTTCATACAACAAACTGTTCCGACATAATTTTACTCTCTAAGAGGATGAATTTCCTAAAATCGCTTTGTGTAGCTAATTCACTAATGTCGTTTAAACGAACCTTTGTGCTAATATTTGTGTATCTATAGCTGGCAGTATGAACTCACTCCTAAAATATCTAAAAACTTAATATATAATCTAACTGACACACCACTGACAATGACAAATAATTTATTTCTGGAGGTATTGTGTGTAGGTGTTTTTCAGGTATGTTTTAGTATTTAGTCGTTTTACACAAAGAAATAGCCATTAAGCACTATAAAAATACTTCATAACAAATCTACTCATATATACCTTTCATTTAAAAAAAGAATCATCAAGATTGGTGAAGCGGTTTTGGCGGGATGGATGCAACAAAAAAAACCTTTGAGCTTTTATATATTATGTATGGATTAATTATTTTTCCAACATATTTTACTTTGCAAATTTTTATAAATATTCAGACTCGCCAATATCGTAGTCCACCGTGTCCAGCCTGTTTAGGCAAACGTAGGCCGATTCCTCTTCGGCGGCGCGCGGCGTCGTGACCCTGGCCGATGGAAGAGTCTTGAAGACGCTCATCCGCGCATAGGAACAAGTTGACTGCGTAGCGTATTGCGTATTAATCGATTCTGAAACTTTCTATCTCATGTATAACATGTTACGCAAGTTTATTATTTTAGTCTCGATTTTAATAGATAAATATGTGAAATGCCACCTGAATATCTTCCGCCATGACATGTTTTTACTTTTTTGTTATGGTAAAGTGATTTGTATAAACTTTATTCAATAACGTATATTTTCCTCCATTTGTGATTTTTTAATTTTAAGCGAAAATTAAGTATAACATTTTAGGAAAAGAAACACTGTAATATTTAAAAGAATAAGAAGAAATTAGTCTTATTTTGAAAGAAAAATATAGAAAAAACTCTTTCTATAGAAAAAAGTCTTTATACTAACCAGAATCCGGTGACATATACGCGGTCTCACCGGAAACATTACTTATTACTTCACATAACTTGAAGAATATCTACTTTTAATAATGAACACTTCAGAAATACACCAGTAAAAACATTTATTATTTGAGATTAAAACTCGAATGAAATTATAAATATTAGTTACCTATGTTGTTATAGCTTTTATGGGCCTGTTTAACGACTTAATAAGTTACCTAGCGAAAAAAATCTGTGCGCGTACCTACCACTATTGTTACAGGTTAATTTTTTAAAGAAATATGTTACACAAATTAAAAACGCTAAAATTTACCTACCACTATTGTTACAGGTTAATTCGTTAAACAAATGTGTTACATATTATTCGTGGTATTAGTGGTATTATATTGGAATCAGCTTGGCATTAGCGGGGCATTATATGAGAAGTTTTGGTATTTAATTTGTATTTTTGGCATTACTTTGGCACTAGTATACAGACATTTGTCAGCGGTTTACTCCTTGTAGATAATCAAAAAGTTTTTAGATAAAATTTGCTTTTTATGTCAATTCATTTCTATGAAAAATTACATTAGATTTTTATTAAAGACGCTGGGTAATTAAAACATTGACTAATAAAGCTTGTCCACTTTAAATAAGGGGTCACGAAATATCCTACTTGTAGTGTTTGGGTTAAGGGGTGTATAATAAATTAATCCTTGTTTTATAATAAAAACCATAAAACATTTATTTGTGAGTAAAATAATGCAATGGTTGGATATCTCTCCTTTATAATTAGGTGACTAAAAATACACTAAAATAATTAGAAAAAAAAAATTGTATTTATTTAGTAATTACGTCAATATTAATTAATTGACTTTCTGGTCTATTTTATTTTATGTACAAATATATTTTAATCTAAGTAATATAAATTTTAATCTAAGCATTAAGTAATAAAACACTTTGTGCCCTCTTATATCGTAAGAGGTTACGAAATATACTCCTGGTTACACCCCTTACAGAAAACAGTGTAAGGGGTGCAAATAAATTGTATAATCACTGTTTTTTATAATAAAAACTATAAAACATTTCTTATTTGTGAGATTAAAAAAACAAAACAATGCATTGGTTAAAATAAGTACATTCAATACATGTATTGTGTTAGACATTTATATGCCCAGTATATTTTTGTTTAACAAACCAATCAGAAGAAAATCCAAAACCTACCGTTATAGGAGGTATAAGATGATTAAACTTATATAATGACAACTACTTATCGGATAACAAATTAATTACTACTGTCAGCTACTGTCTAGGTAGAATATTACCTAGAGTATCTACACCTACCTATGATGTAGGTAGATTAAAGCTTTTTCAGACTTTACGTCTCACTTCGGTGTCACAAGCTGAATTTTTCAGGGATGGAAGTACAGTACATGATATGGGGACCCTTATTCCGAAAGTAGTACAAAATTAGACCGTGTAAAAGGGCACTATCATCAAAAATCGATATATTAATACGACCGTATAGAGAAAACAAATACTTATTTTTTGATCCAGTACACAATAAAGTCTTCGTAGGGAGTAATTTTTTATAATTATTTACAAAAAAACATTTCCATTAGCGCTTATGACCAAAAAAACTTTAAACATGAATAATCATTTCAATCATGCGAAAATTTGGTTTAAAAATAGATTTTTTTAATATAACTTTCATTTAACGAAAAACGAAGGCCTAAATGAAAAAAAAGAAACAATTTATAAGTTTCGCTTATGTCTTGACAAGGTATCAAAGCAAACCCCATATTTTTTGCTTTTAAACTAATAAAGATATATCAATAAACAATTAGCGATGTAATGGTTTTTGCGCGCGCTGGCCGACTGCCGCCGCTGCGCCGAGATTTCCTATACCCTTGTATATATGACGTCATGGTGTGGCAAATGTAGCATTTTAATTCGATTTGGTCTCCCATATATAGGATAACAGAAACATTTTCAATGTTAAAAGTGGTAATGATATCGCAAACACCAAAAAACATTTGGTTTAAAGCTAAGAAAATCATTATAATAAACTTGATACATGTATACCAATGTCCTCTGGTTGTGTGCTAGGAAGTCAATTTTCATGCATATTTTCATCGATAGGTTTGTAGCTTCTGAATTACGGTCTTGGTAAAGCATCTAGCTCATTTGCTAGCTCAGTATTAAAATTATTAGGATTATCAAGCGTTAGGATTATCAATTAGGAGCAAATCGTATTTTCATTCGAGGACATATTTATTTCAAAGCAATAATCAACGAGAATATTCGTATAATTTAAGAAAATTACTGTAAACCACTATAAATACGAATTGTTGTTAGGTTCAAAATGTTTTCCCTTCATGTTCTGTTCTTAAATAAAGCCTTAACGTTATTAGGAACTTGCATACATTTTATACATAATATTTTAAAAGTGTGTATTTTGGGGGTGGTATTCCGCAAAATTTGCAGGTTGAGGAAACAGAAAATGTACAGATTAAAGAAATAAATTGAAAATAATATTTATATTAAAACAGCATTATATGTCACTTTTTCAAACATGTCCTTCAAATCCTTCAATTTAATAGCTGTTAGTAAGAAGTTTCACTTCAAATATGCGCACATAGTGCAAACACTGATTTTTTTCATTTAAATATATTAATTTTAGATCGAGAATAATCAAAGCCCAGAAACTCCAGTAGAATCTAACCATGAAGAAATCGAACATATTTCAACTTTGGAACCTAATCAGGAGAATAATACTGAAATAGCTGAATTAAAAGAAATTCTTAAGTCATCGTCAGCTGTTATTCAAAGAGTCACAACCAAATTTGTTGTCGATAAGGAGCCCCTAAATGAACAAGAAATAATAGAATTTGAATTAATTCACCATAAATCAAATATATCTGATAATAAAATGAAAGGTGAAGAACTTGGTGACATTTTGGGTACCACTAAACTCTTTACAGGTGATTTACATTGCTAAGCCAAATGTTTAATTAAAGACTGCATAAAATTATTTGTTTTTTAGGAATTGAACTAGAAGAACTTAAGCATGAGCTGGAGTTTAAACATAGAATCGTACACAGTATCCCTACAACTGAAACTACAGGAACTAAAACATTTAAAACAACAACTGAAAAGGAAACTAAAACAAAATCAATTCAAAACCAAAACTCTAACGTTCACTAATAACTAAGGGAATTTAAAACAAGTTTGGGTGCACGTCATCAATGACACCATGCGTCGTCTTATGGAGTTTGCTGGTGGTCGTATTATGATGTGCAACCAAAGTTATTTTAATTTCCCTATATAATTATATTGTATTCAAACACCTTAAGCCTAAAGGTTATAAGTACTGAGTTTCCTATATGTGACTAAATAAACCAGCTGATAGCAATGTTACTAATGAAAACCGCTGACAGCGATCTTTAATTCCAAGCCATCTCTAACGCCGTTTTTATCGTATGTTATATATTATAGTACTTATACATGAATGTATACTATATACGGGGTGGTGCATCGTCGTTGGGAACATAGGAAATCCCATGCAAATTTTGAACTGTTCAAATATTGTCTCCCCTACTGAATATACAGCGAAGTCGTAAATATATTTTTTAAAGATTTATGTATGGTAAATACACATGCCAAATTTGAACAATTTTAGATCAGCCTTTTTGAGTAATTTAAGAAAAATTGCATCTATTTTTAAATTAAAACCGAAAAGGTAGCTATTAAACGCCAGTCAAAAACTGACATACCTTAGGTTTAAAAAGTATGATTTTGTCATTGTCAAAAGTAATTTAATTTTAATATTCAGGTGAAATTAACCGAAACATGTCAGATACACTGTCTAAGCTATTTCCCGGCGTAGTACCATTTTACCATGCTCAGTTTTTCTCTATGTGAATAACAATAAATTATTAGTACTGAATATTAAAATTGTATTAAAGTTACATTCCAAAATGACGCTGACAACTTAAGGTATGTAAGTTTTTGACTGGTGTTTGATCTTTAAGTATTCAGTTTATATTTAAAAATCGATTCAGTTTTTCTCAAATTACTCAAAGTAGGCTAGTCCAAAATTGTTCAATTTGGCATGTGTTTACCAAACCTAGACCTTAAAAGAATCTATTTACGACTTCGCTATAAAATCAATAGGAGAGCCAATATCTGGGCAATTCAAAATTTGCATGGGATTTCCTATGTTTCCAACGACGATGCACCACCCGGTATACTACTATATGTACGTAAATCAGTATAATACAATGAAAGAAGATATATTATATATATTTATTAAAACTAATATTTATTAGACGCTTATATTATTATAGTATATTTTATATATAAAGAGATATTTTGATATTGTGCTTGTTTTAGTGTTACTTTTAACAGAACTAAACATACCTATAACCATTCTGTAAAAATTTTCATATTTGGTTTGTTAAAGATGCTATTATTGATACCTATAAGAACGGCTTTTTTAAAGTTACTATTATACATAGTCTGCCAATATTTGACATTATTATTTCACCTTTTTATTGTATTTGTTTATGTTCTTTAAGTAGTACATTCAAGTAGATCTTGAGGACGGTTTAGGCGCAATTCTCAATATAACGTAACGCTACTGTCACGTCGAGCTACCGGCCACTACGGTAAATATTCTTGAATTGCCAACAATGAACCCGTTGCCCAAGGATACTATAGAGATAAGGATAGTTCGATTTCTATCTTCCTGTACTTTCAGTTTTTTTATATCATCTAGGGACCGAGTTGAAGTTCGCGCTAAAGATTTTAGACAGTGACAGTTATTTTTGCGTTTAATGGACGAGCGCACAGTGCGGCGGAAGATAAATCTAGCGGGACAAAACCGTTTATTTAGAAATAAGCCAAAAATGTGTACTGATAAGAATAAATAGTAGACATTCCAATTGATATAAAAATGCATGAATTATTTTTTGGTCGTATATATTCTTTGTATTTCGATACATTTTTGTCAACCAACCATATAATATCGCTCCTGAGATTTTGTCCCGCTAGAATAACCAGCCGCCACACTGTGGAGCGCTGTCGTGGCAACTTTCATCTCCCATTTACTTCTCTAAGTATAATTAGTGGAAAACTTAAAACTTTGTTAACTTTTTTCACTAATTGAATTCCTACCACTAATTTTGACGTTCTGAATGCTGTACATTCAAGTTAGACGAACAAACTTCTACGCTAAATGAAACCACTAATTTATTCCACTAATTGCGAGGTTCTGAATGAAGCTTAAGTGTTTTTGATTTTGATATAAACACATAAATTATTTTAGACTTATTTTTGTTACTTAGTATACGTTTTTTTTTTCAATTCTTAATTTTTTTTGATAATTTATTAAGATATTGAAGAAAGTCGTAAGGCATCTTTCTCCTCAATTGGTGTTTGTGAAAACATTAGTTTCTGATATTGAAGTACCTACTTGAGTCTAAAGAATTCACAAAATTTATATGTAGAATGTAAAATTTTTAGGAAGGTGTTAATCACCGCGACCTTACATATCTATTGTGTATTCCCCTTTCTTGATATATAACGGGTTATAACTCATCATACAGTCTCAGGGCTTTGACAAAAGTCAGTATCTGAGACAGCTCCAAAGAGGCCAGCTCTCCATCTCGGCGCACTCAGTGATAAGGTGTTCTGGTGTTTCCCCATTTTCCCCACAGAATCTGTATTCGCCTTTATTTCTCAGCTTCAATCTATTGAGGTGTTCGTTGAGGAGACAGTGTCCTGTTAGAAACCCCGTGACGACATGTTTTCTGTCGACACCGCGCGACGGCGGCGGCGGCGCGGAATCTTCACGTTACGTTGACTGTACGTTATAGAGAGAATCGCGCCTTATCTGTCCAACTTACCGCATTCACAAGGTACCTAGTAGACGTTATTTTTATCTTTTTGTTAATACTGTTCTTAGAACGATACCAGACGGTTAATATGATACTTTTTGGCTATTTGACTAAGCCTTTCAGATATTATAATAAATGTCTTGCAGTTCGCCATAATTTTACCGAGGCACTTCCCGGACTAACCATTTTGAAACAAATCTGCGTTTTAATGTTATTTAGTTAGACAAGCAAAAGATGCTTGGCTGCTGCAAGTCATGTTTGGTTGATAATATAATATTTACTTACAACCATATAAGTTTGACATCTCCGACTTTTTGAAGGTTGGAAAATGTCAGTTTTCTAACTTTGACTTCCCACCCACGGGTGGAAAGTTTACGTCTCTCCCGTGGGCGGGAAGTAAAAACAGATTTATTTACAACCACATATGTAATACTGACATTATTGACTTTTAAAAAATTTGAAAGTGTCAAATTATCTACATTTCTTCCCTCTTCCATTTCCCTCACCCATTTCCCTCATCCATTTTCCTCACCCATTTCCCTCAATCGGTTTTTCTTATTTCTCGCCTCAGCAAAATATTCTTGTAATATCTTTATTAAATACTTATCTAACATCAACAAAAATAAACAAGAAGATTAACAATAATGACTGAAGATTTTAATACATTTATTTGTTGAAGGTAAAAATGCTAGACTTCTTTGGCTTAAAACCTACATTCTGGCGTTTTAAAAAAGCGACGAGTTTGTGATATTTTGATATATCAGTCTTTTATCATGCTGTACGTAGCCCAAAGAGTAAGTGGCTTTTTCTGCCTTGTCATGTCGCTAAAATATGCCATCAAGACTGTCTCCGAAGCAATATTCTTAGCATTTCTTTCGGCACACCATTTTTTCGTATATATACTTTCAATGCTATTTCAAATCGCCCCCTACTTTTCTCTGGAAGTAAACTGGCTTCTGCTCTTTTTGCAGCTTCTGTAAGTTCTTGTGGAGTAACAATATTAAACTAGTTTTCATTATCAGAACTTTCCGACAACATTCTGGCTTTCTATGTTATATAAATTCGAAAAAGCGAACGAGAAATTCAAAACTGTCACTTAGTTGTTTGTTTTGCTGTTGAAGGTTGCGCCATAACAACCAACCGGTAACTATAGATATGGAAATGCCAAAACAGAAAACGACAAATTTTTGCATATTTTTTTTTTTTTCAAAATAAAATACTGTCTCTATTTTTTAATTAATGATGTGGTTGTAAATAAAATAGTATACAAACCTCGGAGGAAAGTTTTCATGATTGTCTCGAGATTTAGTTAATGCTCGACGCTACGCGTCTCGATTAACAATATCAATCTCTCGACAGTAATGAAACACTTCCTTCCTCCGGTATGTAATGTACTATTTCCTATACCTATACTCTTTCGGTATAAAATGAATATGGTTAATATTACTGTCAGTCTTCTAGGAGAGATTTTGATTGAGACGAATTTGAAAAGAAACGATGCTCTATGAGACCGGAACCATCTTTCTCTCTCTAGCATTTTAAAATATTTGATAATTATTAGGTAACTCATACGATATTTTTATATATTCCAGAGTTTCGGAACACTATTAATTAAAAATGGATTTGGAAGAAGCTCTTCCACTAAAACTAAACATGAATAAGCCCAAAAAAAACTTTTTCCATCGGTATGTAATTTACGTTCGCCGTCAACTTTGAAATTGGGCATTATATACCGTTAAATAAATGACACGCAGAGCCGAACAGTTTAATTAAAATAGTTAATGGGTGTCATATATAAGCGAGGTGGTTTTTCCACTATTTTTCGAAGAGCAGCAGCGCAACTTGAAAGCATACCGCGCGGCTCTATGAAATTTTATTAGTTGCCCTGGAAATAATTTACCGTTTAAATTAATATTAATAAACGGCAAACGGAGCGTAATTGTAGAATTAATTAAAATATGCGAACAATTTATTCCCGCGCGTAGCCCGCTCGTCTAAAATAAAAGCCGGGAGACTGCAAAAACCGAGACTGAAATAATTCGGGCGTAGTTATGTTAAATGTGGTTTATTCTAGAGTTTTCTGAATGAATACGCAGGCGCTATAAACTAAAAATTATTATTGTATCTCGGTTGAACAATATTTATCTCGTTGCGGCTTTTGGACAGAATTACATTTTTGGCACTGAGAGTGAAGAACTAAGAACTTCAGAATTAAAAACTGCTGGTCATTGCATACTGGGGACACACTCACGCACACTACAAAAAATATCAAGTTTCGATGTTGTAGATCAATATACAGTGTGTCCCAGAAATAAGTGCAAATATTTTAACGGTAGTGGTAGGTTTAGTATAGTTCAACTCCAGAAACAGGCCTATGAAGTTTTTTTGGCGAAAAAAAATGTTGAAAATTTAAAATTTTTCTTGACATTTTCCTTGAAATTTGAAAAAACTTTTTAGTGCCACTTGTTTATTCACCTGAGATTTCTCTACGGTGTATCTAAACCTCGCAGTGTTGCAACCTCCTATGTTATCCACATTCTACATAGTTCTACATTTATAAATTCATAGACAAATTTCTACTCAAAAAATTAGGAATATTAAATTTAGTCTTTTATCAGTGCTCATTATTAATAATTATATAA